CTCCCCCAACCCAGACATTATGTTCATGCCACATTTAGGAATCCTGAGGCCTCATTTTACAAATGAGGGAACAGAGGCTTAAAGAGGAGAAGGGACTTGCTCAAGTCCACAGAATGAATTGAACCCAAGTCTTCTGACTTCTAGCATGAGATTCCTTTAAACTCTAATTAATACAAAACCTCTTAATATGAGAATAGAGAGAAAGAGGAGGTGAGGAGGAGGATAGTGGAAGGAGGAGTTGTCAAATCAGGTGATCATTTGCAGGCAAGGGGACCGACAGGCCTGGGGCAACCGGAGACCTTGGTGGGGGGGCAGGGGAGTCTGCTGAGGAAAGAGGAGATGGAGGCGGGGGCCTAGCTGGGTTATTTTCAGAGCTGCTATCTTTGTCTGCATCTGCTAAATTATTAAACTGATATCACATCCTAGAGGGTGCCAGGCCAGGTTGCCAGGAAGAGACTGAAAGGGAGGGGTTGGATGTCTTCACAGAGGCCTTGAATCTTCTAGGCTGGGATGGAAGTCAACTCCTCAAACCTTGACCTCCTGCCCCACCCTACTCTCAGCTGATGGAGGGGATCCGGCTTTGGGCCGCAGCCACACTGGCCACCACTCCCTCCATATGGTTCTGTCTCTGCTGTCGTGGGAGGGGAGTGTAGGATTGTATATAATAAACAGGACTCTGGAACCAGGTCCCCCCTAGGCCGCCTCTTCTCTTTCAGGGTCTCTGACCCAGACTGAAAACAGATACGACCAGCTGTGCAACCTTAGACAAATCCTTGATCTTCGTGTGTCCTTGTCTGTGCCCTAAGTATTAGCAGTTCCATTTCTCAGACCCTGAAGTTCACAGAGAAAAGTGCCTTTCTCAGAGCTGGGCAGCTAAAAGAGGACTGAGCTTCAATTCAAACTCAAGTCTCTCAAATTCCAGATGCCTTTCCTCTCTCTATTCTTTTTTTAAATTTTAGTATTTTCTCTATTTCCCATCTTTCCTACAAAAGGAATGTATAACTTTGATAAAGATCAGAAAAAATGAGTAATCATTATAGTTTAAAAATGTATTTCCTAATTCCAAATGTTGTGCTTGCTGGGCTGGCTGTGCCCCAAGAGGTGGTTGGTTGTGACCCTGGTCCACTCCCAGGAGTGTGGAACTTAGGACAATTAAGGAAGCAGGCAGAGGCCAAAGCTCTCTCACTTCTGGTCCTGTGCACGTGGTGTTCCCATCCAGAATCCTTCTCCCTTCCTGTTCCCCCACCATCTGTTCACCACATACTTTGATTCATCCTTCAGGTTTCAGTTTAAATATCACCTTCTGCAGGGAACCCTCCTTGTTCCCCTCCCCACCCAGCTGGGCTCACTGTCTGCTCTGTGTTCCTATAGCCACTGTATTTCCCCTATCCCAGGAGATACGGCACTAAACTGCCATCACCTGTGTCCTCCCTTGACTGTGTGCTCCCTAAGGGCAGGGATCTTATCTGATCATTGCTGTACCTCCAGCAGCCAGCCCAACAGAGAGAGTAATGATCACATTTGTCGAATGGGTGAAATAAAGCATGAATAAATGAGTGAATAAAGAAGGGGACTTCTCAACAAGTTCTGTCTACCCTTGTATTATTTTTCAATTCAAACAAACACTATTTAAATGGCCTATGGGGCCAGGCACTCTACCTAACTTCAGGGAATCTAATGATATAAGCAAAATGTGATGAAGCACAAAAGCACGTGAAACCTGCTACATCCATTGTGAATACAAGTCACAGCCTTCTGTTCTAGGAATAAGAACAGGGCAAAATTTTCATCACAAGAGATGAGGGGAAAAACAGAAAAGTAAATCGGTGAGCAAAACAAGTCTAAGGAGAGACTATTAAATCACTGAACCGTAAGGGGGGAGGGTATAGCTCAAGTGGTAGAGCGCATGCTTAGCATGCATGAGGTCCTATGTTCAATCCCCAGTACCTCCTCTAAGAATAAATAAATAAATAAATCTAATTACCTCCTCCCACCAAGCCAAAAAAAAAAAAAGGAAGGAAAGAAATTAACTAAACAATAAACCAATACATATAAATGACTTGTGGGAAATTCCATAGAGGATAGGAACTGGGGACATATCAGAGAAGAGCAGGGAGGTATGCTATGACATTGGGGTGGGTCAGATCTGTGTTTGAATCTTTGCTTGGCTACTTATCTGCTGTGTGACCTTGAGCAAGTCTCTTCGCTTCTCTGGGCTTCAGTTTCTCAGCAGGAACAAGGGCTGCAGATGCCCCTCTCTTAGGGATGCTGTGGAGACACAAACATTCATGTATTCAGTAAATGTAGGTTGAGTATCTCCTCCTATTCAGAGAAACAAGTTGCCCAAGATAAGTGTGTGCGGGATTTGAACTCAGATCTGACTGATTCTCTGGATCTGGCTGATGGTGGAGGGTGGGGTAAATCCTGATCTTATTCCCCTTGATTCATCCCACAGAAATTGGGAGTGGTGATCTGCTTGATGCAGGCAAAACACCTGTCAGTCTCCGCACAGTGATGGGGGAGGGGTCTTCTGCACAGAGAAAGACACAAGGTTTGATAACACAAAGGAGACCATTCAAAGGGATAACAACATTCAGCAGGGCATTCCTCCTTGCTTCAGGCAACCTGGTCACTCTTAAGCTTCTGTCATCCCCACTAAGCCCCTCTGACTCACTGAGCCCCCAACCCCCTCACTGAACTTCCCTTCTTCCTCTCCTTCTGTGGGCCTCTAGCACCAGTGTGCCCAGTAAACCCCTCTCCCCTCACTTAGCCCATCACATTCACTGAGCCCCTCCCCTCGCCTTCCCTGAGCCTCTGCTACTCCTGGTCACTGAACATCCTCCCCCTCACTCCTTCCTTCTAAGTCTTCCTTTCCCCTTCACTGGGCCTGACACCCTCTCATGAACCTCTCCTCCTCTCTGAGCCCCTTCTGAGCTGCCTCTCAGGAGCCGAGCTGTCTCACCCACGAGTCCCCATCACTCAATCTAAGATACTTAAAAGCACTTAGAGAACATGATGTGGAGAGTAGGAGGGTGGGGCGTGCTTCATTGTTCTCCTCATCAGGCCAGTACAGTAACCCCATCAGCCTCCTCTTCAGGCTGGGGCAGTAATCACACTGGCTACACTTTTGTTAGTTCCCTCTGAGCCCAAGTTCACCACAGTTCTTCCCCATTGGTTTTAGCTGGTTTCTGGCCCTCCAACCCCTGCACCTGCCCAACACAGAGACCTCCCATTTCTGATGGCACTTTCAAGTGGATGGTAGGGCCATGATGTCCAGGTCTGTGTTTGGAGGGGGTAATGGCAGGATCACTTCTGCTGTGGGAAAAAATGGCCAGGGCTCAGTTCTATCATTTTGCCAATATGACTAAAGTCTTAGTTAAGGAGGGTCCCCTCAATGATAGTGAGGAGACCCAGGAATCTAAGCCCCTAAAGGGCATTGAATGGCTCAGCTTATCCCATTTAGTGGTCCAGATTCAGCCACTGACCTCGGTCAAGACTCCACAGCACCTTCTGGGTCTGTTTTGCCCTCTGTGTAAAGGTGTGGGGACACCTACTGGGAGGAGCAAACAGAAGCGGGGCAAGGGAAGAATTTTGCCCACCGTGAGGCCCCGGACTGCTCAAGACGGCCACCAAGGTTTGTGAAAGCCTCACCAAGCTCAACAGCAGCGCTATGGTTTGTTCTACTAGGGAAGGGTCTGCCTGATTCGGAACCAACCCCGCCAGATCCCTACTGGGATCCCTCTGTATTAACCTTTCCATCGCCACAGGGAGATTGGAGAAGGGAGTCCTGGCGAAGTTCGGTCTTGGTGATCAGGTACAGCCGGTTCGGCCGACGAGCAGCGTGGGATACGGGAAGGAGCACTGTGCAAGGAGTCAAGCCTCCTGTGTTCTAGCTCAGGCTTTCACTGTCAAACAGTGTGACCTCAGGCAAAACCGTCCCCCAGGTGGGGTCTGGAGTCCATGATTTCTAAGCAACAGCTACCAGGGCATATGAGCTCAAGGGCCAGACCAGAGAAGATACGGCCCCCTTTCCACCCAATTTTGAGGAGGTAGATGGGGACTGGATGCCCTAGAAGGGTAGAATGGGACGAAGGACCAGGGACCTGAAGGGTTTGGGCAGTGTCCCGACTAGGCGGGGCAGGGGAAGCGGGTTTAGGGATGCCGGTCTCTGATTGGCTGTGCTGCCCCTCGCTCCGCCCCGTGTTCTATAAGACGCACAGGAGGCCGGCGCGGCGGTGGCGTGGGGGCTGCGGCCGCATCTTTCTCCGGCCACATCTCTCTCCGGTGCGCAGCGTCCATCCACCCACAGCGTGGGGGACAGCCAGCCAGACCCGCGGACCGACCGCTGCAGACCGCCGGGGGGCGGGGGATGC